AAAGATCTCCAGTGGATTTGCTTTGAATCTGTCTTTACATTGTTTCCTTATGAACTGTTTTATTCTGCTTTGTTATGTTTAATCTTAACCTCTTTAAGATTAAAAAAACAAGTGTGTAGGACTAATAACCATATTACTAAGTTTTTGTTGGATTGAGCAGAGCTCTTTGCAGTGTCATTATTTGAATGTCACTTTGTATGCTTTAATTTGTAACTTGAACAGCTATTTCTAAGATGACAATATGTAACTTATCAACTAGTGATTTCTTACTTTTCATTTTTCTGAAATTCTGTATTATTTCTATCCTTTTTTGTCTTTTTTTTCTCTTTAAATAAAAGAAAACTGCATTCCTTCTACAGCTAAATAATATTATACCATATATATGCATCACAAATTGTTCATTCATTCACCCACTGGTAAACATTTTAACTGTTTCTAGTTTAATTATTTACTTGCTTCTTGTTTCTCACCATTGCAATGGAGTATCAGTTTTAAAAATCTTTTGGATATATACCCAGTAGAAAGTTTCCAGATTACATGTTAATTCTACGTTTCACTTTTGAGAAACTAGTATTCCACAACGGATACATCATTTCACAGGCATACCAGTCCTCCCCTTTACTATTCCAACTAAGATTCTACTAATACTATATCATAGTTTTGGTCAAAATTACAGTTTTTAAAAAAAAGATTATCAATTTCTACACTACTAAGTCCAAAGATTCATTCTCAAAAATGACATCCTTCTTCCCCGTTAAAACATTTATGGGCAAGAAGTCAATAAGAAGCTAAGACACCCTGTGAACTGGCAGCACACACAGGGTGACTGCAGGAAAAGCAAAATGCCAGCCTCCTCCAGTGAGTCAGTGCCAGTCTCAGACTGTAGGTGATAAAAACCAGAAGTCAACAAGAAGCTAAAACCTCCTGTGAGTCAGTGCCATGCACAGGCAAATGGGGGAGAGCCAGATGCCAGACCCTTCCAACGCAAAGGGAGGGAGACAAGAAGATTCAACATTCCTTCTCCAGCCCCCATAAATGACCAGTGACCCAGAGAAACACTGGTGGTGATGATATCTAATGAGATAAAATACAACTTAATGCTTTTAGTATTTAGTATTTCACTGACTTTGCAGGCCTAAAGCAATAGTCTGACCATCTATTCAAAGGATAACATAGGCAATGTAGCCTATGGAGAGCTCCTTCTGAAGGTGGTTGCCATTGTTAATTTCCTATTATCTTGTTTTGAAATCCTGTATCATTCTCACTGTTTTCTTTGGTTGGGTTTTATTCTGTTTTATCTTATTTGATTTTGCTGTATCTGGTATCATAGATAGCTATTTTGACATAACAAGATATATTATGGTAGTTATTTTGGATTTGCTATTATCTTGTTTTGAAGTCCTATATTGCATTCTTTTTTTGTTTTTATTGGTTCTATTCTGTTTCTGTTTCATCTGATTTTACTACGTGTAAAGATATGGGCAGGATAACAAGAGGCATTATGGTGACCATTATTGCTTTCTTATTACTTTGTTTTGAAATCCTGTGTCACACTGTCTGTCTTGTGTTGATTGGTCCTATTCTGTTTTATTTTGCTTGGTTTTATTCTAAAATTAAAAAAATAAAAATAAATGAAATAAAAATTTTTTTTAAACTTAAGACACCTGGCTTCCAGACAAATACTCTCTTGGTTTTCTGAAGCTATTACTAATCAGTTATTCTCCATTTTCTTGCTGTTACTTCCTCTTTCCAACTTTTCACCACCACCATACCATAGTCACATCTTAGAACCTCTCCTTTTTTCTATTACGTAACTCCAGTCTCAATGACTGTCAAATTTGTAACTTAGATCAAATTTCTAGTCTGAATCCCAGATTCACATAGCTATGGCCTGATGGATATACAATGGGAATCTTAAACTTATTCAATACCAATCTCCTGCTCTTCATCTCAAACCTACTTGTTTTAGTCTTCATACTTACGACTTACAACTCAACCCAGTCCTCATATCAAAAACTCACAACACAACCCTTTTAGTTACTCAAGAACCAGTCCCGATTCCCCTTTATTTCATTAATCCCATAATAAAATTCACCAGGAAATCTTACATTCTTGACCTTCAATATACATTTCAACACCAACTACTTTTCATTTATCCAGACTCTCTGTTAGCTCTTCTTTGAAAATTACAATACTATCTGATTTTCTTATTTCTGCTTTTGCTCTCCTCTAACTTATGCTCACCACAAGTGATTCAGTTTAAAAGATAATTTAAATCAAAATACAAATAAATAATATTTTTTAAAGATAATTTAAATCATTATATAAGTCTCTTATTGGAAAACTTTCTATCTCAGTCCAGGATCAACATGCTAGCACATGCCTGTGATCCCAGTTCTGACAGAGGCTGCAGTAAGAATCTCAATTCAAACCTAGCCTGGCCAACTTGGTGAAACCCTTTCTCAAAATTTAAATACAAAAATCTTAAAAAACTGTTTTGAAAATAACAAGATATATTATGGCAGTCATAGTTGATTTCCTATTTTCTTGTTTTGAAGTCCTGTCTTACTTTCATTGTTCTGTTTTGATTGGTTTCATTCTGTTCTGTTTTCATTTTATTATGTCTTCTGGTATGGACAGCTATTTTGAATGTGAGGCATTATGGCAGCCATTGCTGATTTTCTATTATCCTGTTTTGAAGTCCTGTATTGCTCTCACTGTGTTGTTTTGATTGGCTTTATTCTGTTTCATTGTTTGGTTTTATTCTCTTTAAAATAAAAATTATTTTTAAAAAAGGCTGGAAACATGGGTCAGTGTAAAAACTTAGGTTGATCCCCAGGACCAAGAAGAAGCTGAGAAAAAAAAAAAAGAAAGGGAAGGAAAGGAAAAGAAAAGAAAGGAAAAAAGGAAGGAAACAGTCCCCAAAATGACTTACAAAGTTTTACAGTTTCTTACACTATCCCAAACCCCAATTATCTTACACGGTCACAAATGCCAATTATTTCTCTGATCTGGTACCATCCCATTTTCACATTAACCCATTTTTTTTCAACCCAGCTGACTTCCTTGCTGTTCCTTAAACTTTTTTTTTTTTTTTTTTTGTCTTTTTCGTTTTTATCAGTACCAGGGATCGAACTCACGACCCCACACTTGCAAGGAAGGTGCTTATGCTGCTGAGCTAAATCCCCAGCCTGTTCTTTAAACTTTTGAATGTTCATATTTGCTACTTCTGTAATGTTCATTCCCACAGTTATCTATACAAAGCTTCCTCGTTCACAAGTTTCTACATAAACCTTTCACAGTAATGTATTTCCTTCACATTAAGACATTCACTGATCACCCTATTTTAAAAAGTGCACATCTCTACTGTTTAGTAAAACACTGTTATTCCTCTTTCTTGTTTTTTCTACATAACTCTTACCATCAATGGACATACTACACATCTTATCTGTTTCTAATAACAATTTAAATTCAAAGAAAGCCAAGCTTGGTGGCACACAGCACTCAAAAGGTTGAGACAAGAGGACTGCTGCAAGTCCAAGACCAGCCTGGGCTACTTAAGTGAGTTCAAGGCCAGCCTGAACTGCATAGTGAAACCCTGTCTCTAAAAGACCCTCCATCCCCCACCAAAAAAATCAAAAGAGGCAGGGATCTGATCTATCAAGTATCATTTCTTTAGAGACAAAAATAGTCTGGAATACAACTGGTATTCATAAATATTTACTGTATCAATTAAAAATCTGATAAGGATGCCATGCCTATATGATATTAGTACTATTAAAAGTCAAGAAACAAAGAACCCTAAATTCATATGGCTTATATCTGAGGAGAATAAAAGGCAAAAGATCACCAAAGAAGAACATGTGAGGAGTGCCAAAAGTACTAGTAATCTTATAGTTCTTGAAGTAAAAGAGGTTCACCTTACTACTTTTTAAGAATATACACTGTTTAGTACATAGTGAATACATATTTTACATACATTTTTCAGGATAGAAGCAGTCAAATAAATACTGTTAAAAATAGATTTAAAAGAGGATCTATGTAAGAAATTGGACTATATTAAAGAATGGGAGGTGATAAAACAGAAACTGTTCACAAACAACCCTTTAAAGCAACTTCATTATAAAAGGCTAGTGAGACTATGGAGAAAAAGATTTTGTTTATACTGTTGGTGGGAGAGTAAATTAGTACAGCCATTATGAAGAACAAAACTAAGAAGAGATCAATAATACAAACCAGCTAAGCCACTTCTGGTATATATTCAAAGAAACTACCAAAGAATCATACCAAAGAAATACCTATATGTTCATGTTTATTACTGTTCTATTTAGATGGATCAGCCTAGGTGCCCATCAATAGACAAATGAATACAGTAAACATGGTAGGTACGTATGCACAACAACAGAGAATTTTTCAGCCAAAAAGAATGAAATCTTGTCATTTGCAGCAAAATAGAAGGAACTAGAGAAGGCTATATTAAGTAAAATAAGCCAGCCACAGAAAGAGAAGTACTATATGTTTTCTCCCAAATGTGGAAACTCAAAGAATCGATCTGAGAGAACAGTGAAATTTCCTCAATGTACACTGTATCCATTTACTCTACTAATATGTACAACTACTGAGTGTAAATAAGTTTGTTATGAAGGAGATCACAAAAATTAAACAGTAAACTGCAAGAATACATGAATTGAAGGGAGATTATTTTGATGCTCATTTTTAATGGAAATATTAAGGCACACTTACATGCCAGTAATTTAGCAGGGAGAGAAAAAAAACTCTCCATAAAGCTGATGAAAAAGAAGAGATAGCCTAAAATAAATGAGGAGTCAAAATTCAAAGAATTCATCTAGAGATATCATATAATTTTATGAAGTAACAAATATACTCCATCTTATATTTGCTAAACACAAAACCACCTTTCAGTTAAGCTAGAATCTTACTAGCAATCACAATTCAAGTATTAGTTAACAAATACTAACAGCAAGAGAAACAAAACCTACTTTAAAAGTCACAGTTGCTTTTGTGCAGTAAAATCCTACAGAAACAATAGGATCCTTCAAAGTTTGTGCTTTCTGTTGATGCATGGTTGATGCAGGATCATTCGCAAAGTAGTCTTCCTCTCCATCATTGTAACTCACAATTGCAGGTACAAATGACCACGCCCAAGATACCCATCCTTGCGGCTGCTCATCATCTTGTTGTGAATACAACTCTTGGCCTTTGTATTGAGCAGAAAATTGCATATCTATTCTTGTTTCATCTTCAGTACCTATCAATCAAAAAAGTCATTTTAAATAAATCAAAAGGATTAAACTAAGAAAAGGATTATAAATGCCCTAAAAGTGTTATTCATTGTAACATGGGAATTACTAACATCAAAATATATGCATTCAAACACTCCAAAATAACATTATGTTGTACCTCTTAAATACATAGATTTTGTCAATTATACTCAATAAAAAAAGGAAAAAAATGTTTTTCCTACAATCTTTCTCCTAAAAATAACACCTGTATAGCAAATCATATATAAGAGAAAAGTCAGTATCTCCTGAGAATTGGCCATGCTGGGACTTGGGGGACCAACCAAGAAATCTATCGGCCAGCCTTCCTAGTAAGCTGTGCAAACCTCCCGCTGCACAGAGAAAAAGATAGCACCTTCCGTGGGTTTACTGGAATAAGGGCTAAGAATCAAACACTGTCCATATCCTCTCCCAACCCCCAACTCCTCCTCCCTTAGCAACTAGATGGTTCCAAGGGCAGCCAGAGTTGATAACAACTAAGGTACATAAAGCAACTAAATGCTTGTATTGTTTGGTTGACTATGCAGGCCTGAGGCCAGCAGTCTATGCCACTCTCTGGAGGATAACAGTATGCAATACAGCAAATATGGGGGATTTCCTTGTTGTCTTTGAAGTCCAATATTGTTTCATACTGTTTTGCTTTGTTCTGATTGTTTTGCTTTATTCGATATTGTTTTGATTGGTTTTATACTGTCTTGTTTTTGGTTTGATTTTGCCATACCTGATGAAATGGACAACTATTATGAAGATAACAAGATGTACTATGGTAACTATTATTGTTTTCCTGGTATTCTGCTCTGAAGTTCTGTGCCAATTTTGCTGCGTTGTCTTGATGGACTTTGTTCTGTCTTGCTTTGTTGTACTTTACTATCTTTAAAATAAAAACTTTTTAAAAGAAAGAAAAAAATCTCCCTAGTATCTGGTCATCATGTTCCAGGAAGCCGAGTCAGTTAGAAATATTATAGGCAGTGAGACAGGGCTAGGTCCTCAAAGGAGCCAGTGCAGACATCTTACAACTGTGGGGGAGACAGAGGCCTCCTGCTGTAGACCAGGACTTAAGACAAAGGAACAAACAAATGCAGCCATATCCTAAAGACTGATATTCTTAATTAGTTCCCTATCACCCTGAGAAAGCCTGGAGTCACTATCCCATTCCCCTAGGGAAAAGGTCACAGCTCTAAAAATACTGCTTCCTGTGTGACTTGCTTTCTCATTTGTCCCCAATTTAATCAATTTTACCTGAACTACTAATCTTATTGGCTAACTATAGTTATGTCCCACCTTATGCCCATCCGCTTTGTGAGTTCCCAGTCTTCCCCCACCTTGAATCCCTCTCGCCCCATGGTTTTACTCTATAAAAATCCCTGGAAAAAAACAGAATCTTTAGCAAACCCACTTGGGACCCCTTCTGTCTCTCTTCAGACAGAAGCTTTCTTTTTCTCAACAAATACATTCTACTCTTAACCTCGGTTGTTCCTAAAATTCATTCTCTGATTTTAGAGAACACAAACTCACAGACATAGTAGTTCAGGAGTTTCATTCCCCTATATCAATAATTTCCTTGGATCATCCTTTTCTTTGGAACAGTGTATTTTAATTTGAGGTCCTTTGAATTCTATGAATTTTAATGGGAAAAATGCATATATATCACATGCCAATATCGCAGTAGGGAGAAAAAATACTGAATATATATATATATATATACCAATTCAATGAACTCTAACCACAACTAACATGAAGAAATAATATCAAGGAATATTATAACCAAATTATTTAAAATTCTTGGTTAAGATGGTAACAAGCTTTATGAAACCATCAAGGAACAATGAAAGTAATCAAATTACTTAAAATTTTCTCAAAAAAAAAAAAAAGCCTGTGATGGTAGCTCCATGCAAAAGCCCTGGGTTTAATTCCTACTACCTTTGTAATGACAGGTGTGGTCCGAGAAGAGGTTCACAAACTTTCCAAAAAATTGTTAAGGAACTTTGCTTTAAACAGGTAAGAAAATTAAGTTCAACTCTCTGAAAGCAAACAGTATTAAGTACATCTTTACTTAATATACAAGAAACACTTATTTCTAAGGTCACACAAACGGTTATTTTTAAAAAGTTATAAAAAAAAAAATTTAAGTTACATTTGGCAAAAGTCATGCTGGCTCTGAAAGGAGCACTTTAAGAAGCCAGTGTGCCCTTTGGATAAGCCACACAAAGCAGGAATAGAGAAGCCAGTCAGTTCACCCCTTCCCATGAGCAGACCAGCAGGCAGGCTGAGAATCAACAACCACCCCCTCCCCAACCTCAAGCAACCAGCTGGTTCAGAGAACAGAATGCATTAATAGCAATTTAGCCATCAACTAAATGCTTATATTGTTTGATTGACTTAGTAGGCCTGTGGCCTGTAGTCTGAGCATCTATTAGGAGGATAACAGTATGCAATATAGCAAATAAGGGGCATTTACTTCTGTCTTATTTTTGAAATCCAGTATTATTGTTTTGTTTTATTCCAATTTATTGTTTTGTCTTATTCAATGTTCTGCTTTGATTGGTTTCATTATGTTTTGTTTTATTTGATTTTACTATAGCTGATGGAATGGACAACTATTCTGAAAATAACAAGATATATTATGGTAGCCATTGTCAATTTCCTATTATCGAGCTTTCAAGTTCTGTACTACCTTCACTGCTGCATTTTAAACAGCTTTACTCTATTTTGTTTTTTGGGGTTTCTTCTCTTTAAAATTAAAATAAATGAATAAATAAATAAAATAAAATTTAAAACTTCTCAAGAGACACCTATTAAAAAACAACTAAGTCTCAAGTTGCCAAAACATATTCTTAAAATGCATATGACAAATGATTTAATGTAGTATACATAAAAAACAATTACATATCAATAATAAACACATTAAAAAGTTTTACAGTGGATGAAAATTTAACAGACATTTCACAACGGTTATAAAGGCCAATAATCACATGAAAAAGTTAGAAGTATTTACTCAACAAAACTATGCAAGTTAAAATCACCATGTGCTCGCCAGAATGAGGAAAAGCAGAAATATGCTGATACCAACAAATGTAGAGTAACAGAATTCTCAATCATTCTTGATGGGAATGTAAAATGGTACAGTTACTTTGGGGGAAAGGTCACATAGTGCAATAGTTGGCATAAGTGTTCTGCAAAGAGTCTTTTATTTATTATCTTTCTTGTCATCATCATCATTATTAAATGTTCACTACCAGGTGTGACATTACTGGGAGGCTGTGGAACCTTTAAGAGGCAGGACCTAATGGGAAGTTCCTGGATCACCAAAGTCATCCTTTTTTGGTTTATAAACTGATTACCTCAGATAATTGTCAAAGTGAAGGAAATCTGACTAATACAACTGGTTTGTGAAAACTAAACTATCATTCTACTCTGAGGTATTTATTTACCCAAGAGAAGGAACACCTCATATTTATATGAAGCTTATGCCAAAAACTAGAAACAGCCCCAAAGTCTAAAAAGCCCCAGCTATTAAAAAGATAACAGCTAAGCAAAGGCATCTTTAAATGGTGTATTTAGACCATTTTCTTACCAACAAGAATGACTTAAACCTGAAACACAGATGTACCAAAAAAACATACTTAGTGAAAGAATCCTTTCACAGTTTATACTGCATACTCCATTCTTACGAATCCTAGAACCAACACTAATCTATTGCGTTAAAAGAGTTCAGAACAGTAGTTTCCAGAGAAGCAGGAAGTAGTTGGGGATAGTTGGAAAGAAACATAAGAAGTTCTGAAATGTTAATGATCTTTATCTCAGTTTTTTTATTAGTACATGTTGGGAGTACATGATGTTTTCACTCATCATAGGCAGTGGGTACATGTACCTATCTAGATTCTTTTTATTCCCTTTCCCCAAGCACCTCCCTCTGTCTCTAAACCACTTTCCCGATTTTCATCATTATTTGTCCCCCAATGAATGTAATGTACCAATGTACCATAATTTGTAATTATTGGTTATGTCTGATACACAGCAGACTTTCGTAAAGTTTTAATGAACTGAATTACTGAGTTAACCCACTGTGTACCCTTCATTGAACTGTACATTTCATTAACCAATAGTACTTAGAAACCCAACTGGCTAAACACATAGGCCGGAGATTTAGCTCAGCAGCATAAGCACCTACCTGGCAAGTGTGAGGTCGTGAGTTCTATCCCCAGCACCAAAAATAAATAAATAAATACACGCATACTTACATACATACATAGACTCTTAATGAGCCTGTGCAGAAAAAATAATGATACTTTCATTCATTAAGAAATTTAACTCTCAGGGCTGGGGATTTAGCTCAGCGGCATAAGCGCCTGCCTTGCAAGCAGGCAGTCGTGAGTTCGATCCCCGGTACCAATTAAAAAAAAAAAAAAAAGAAAAGAAATTTAACTCTCAATAAATACATATTTTGAACATTTTACATATGAGAAATATTATTCTCAGTCAGTACAACAAAGAAAATCAAAATAGCATTCCATATTCAGATTAAAAAAAAAAAAAAACCAAAGCAGTGCCAAACAACCAAAATACAATCATTTTATCACTGTATAACTCAATCTTGAGGATCTCCTGCATCCCCAGTGATGAAAACACTTTGCAAGAATAGCCCTTAACTACATTTTTGTTATACTTACCTGTAATGTTTCCTAACATATCTTTATTATGACAGGTAGAATCCTCTGTTTCACTATCTTTAAAATTGCCTATTTCTCCATAGTAAAGAGCAATTCCAAGTTGCATTATTCGGATAAACATAGGCAGTTGCTGATCTGTGATAGAAAGTTTCAAACTTTCCACTAACGTATGAATCTGTGTGTTGAAAAAACAGAATCAGTTACAAAAGTATGGTTAAAGGGAGTATTATACTTTTCAAGATAAGTTGATCGATTTTAAGTCCTCAAAATAATAACATTTGGATAGATATTGTGAAGTAGGAAGAAAATGTTCAAATGGGAAGAGAAACAACAAAAGAGGTAAGGGAAGGAATAGAAAAGAGAATAGGAAAAAAACTAAGCTTTTGTAATTAAAGAAAGAAAAGTGTTTGAAGAAAGCGATGGAGAATAAGGAAAAAAAGAAGAATCAATATATATATTATGTACAGGTACAAATGCCCTACGATGAATGTGATCATTACATATGTAAAAAGTATACCAATAAAATTTTTTTTAAAAAATACCATTTAAGGGGCTGAAGATTTAGCTCAGCAGCACAAGCACCTGCCTTGCAAGCACACGGTTGTGAGTTCAATTCCTGGTACCAATAAAAATTAAAAATTAAAAATACTATTTAAAGAATACTAATGCCCCAAATGTTTCTAATAATCAGCCAAAATGTAATCCAAATCTTAGGAATCAAACAGGTTTTTCTGTAATAATCAATAAACTTTAACCAGAAATTGTATTAGGCCATTAATGTATATACAAATAGAATAAATTAAAAGATATTCACATTAGATTTACAAATAGAATAATCAAAATTTATACTTACACTAGATTTCCAGAATTACCTCAAAAGACAAGTTACATAACAAATATCTAAAGCATACCACAGTACTTCCCCCAAAAAAGAAGCATTTCTGTCAAATCCAAGAATAAAATTTTATGTCATTATTGTAAACTTTAATCACTCTTTCCTATTTTATTAGGTAAAAAGAATAAATACATATACTAAAACCAAATGTTAAAGGTGCATAAAAGATTAACATGTTAACAGGAAATAATAAAATTTTATAATTATATATGGAAAATCAAATAAAATACAGATTTGAGAAAGTTTTTTAAATTTTCAAAATTGAAACATGATATAAAATTTGTAAGGAAAAATAATTATAAGAAAGCATAAGAAAATAAGATTAATTACTACCAAGTAGAATATACAGCATTCAAATTCTCCTTGAAAAGAGACATCAGCAAAATATAAACACAGATTCAGTGTAATGGTTTCCTGCTGTTACATAAACAGGGAAGAAAACCAATTATGCCATAAAGTCAAGTCTCTCAGATTTATTTTGACTAACGTGTTATTTTAATGTCTATGAAATATGAAAAAAGAAGTAATGGTGGCCATATTTTCAGGGTTCAATACACAAAAACAGTTCTATTAACAAGAGCAGAAAGATGTGTACTGCAGGTAGAGTATAATACTATTGTTTCAAATATTACTGCAGGTTTCTTAAAACTGATCTAAAAGTCACACACTGAACAAACCATGAAGTGGGAAGAAAATCGGAGAGGCAGAGGAGTATATAGACCTGCTAGTCTTTTCTTGAGATCTCTATCACATCCTTTTACATAATGTCAAGCACCAGTGATAAACAATCTATCCTTTATAACAAAAAGTATTTTAAAATCAATTAGAAAAAATTAACCCTCAATAGAAAAAAAACCTAAGTGAATAATTTTTTAAAAGCTCAAGTGGTGGCCAGACATAGTGGCACAAGCCTGTAATCTCAGCACTAAGGAGGCTGAGGCAAGGGGGTCACTGCAAGTTCAAAACCAGCTTGGGCTACAAAATGAGCTCAAGACCAGCCTGAAGTGCACAGTGTTTCAAAAACATCAAAAGATAAAAAGCACAAATGGCCAGCATATCTTCAAAAATCTAACTCCTTAACAAACAAATGTCAGGCAGTTATATTGTAAGTTGGAAATTCTTCAAAATAAAAGTTATATTCAAGGCTAGCAAGTGTACAACACAGTCATTTCCCTGAATGTTCATGGGTCTATATCCTGGTTAATCATTTGTATAAATAGTTTTACAATACAGATTATATGTTCTAAATATTTTTTATGCATTAGTAAGATATTTACAACTGTCTAGAAATCTTTCTTAATGAATTAATCAGAGTTTTGGCCAAACATTGATGTGTACTTTCATTTCTTGGAAAAACAAATGCAAAACAGATTTCAAAAAATAGAAAAAAATATTAAATTATGTACCCTAGGATATTTCTCAGAAATGTAATTGGCTCACACAAAAGATAGAAAATTATAAAAGCCTCCCCAAAATATAAATACATTCAAATGTCACTTCAACAAGCATCCATGAAAGGTTCAAAAAAATAATAAGGGTATCTCAATATTTTGGAAAATCCATGTCTACAAGGTGATCAGTGAGGCTAGTTTTTTTGTTTTTTTCCTTTTTATCGGTACCAGGGATCAAACTCACGACTGCCTGCTTGTAAGGCAGGCACTTATGCCGCTGAGCTAAATCCCCAGCCCTGATCAGTGAGGCTAGTAATAACCATTTAACACATATTTTGTAAAACTAGAATTGGAAAAAGCTGGGTCAATCCCATAATGGTAAATATTACATCACAATAGTATAGTATTAATAAAAACACTCAAAAACATACTTCAGCTGAGCATAACATAATAAAATATGTGATGATTACCAGAGTCAAAACTCACATACCAACTAACATTTAGGTTAAGATACTTTTCATAAAAATTCACTATTATTCAATTTTGAGAATAAAAACTTACATGCCAACAGCAAGTTTTTCTCAAATTCACTTATTTTTACTTTTTTCTTCTAATTTAGTGAAGTCCTAGATCGGACAATGACATTTGCAATATTCATCAATCAAATTATTTCATATAACAAAAAATTTCAAATATCCACCATTCACTTTAATAATACTTTAAATTTATCTTCACATTCCCTAACTAGTAGCAGGTTCACGCTAAAAAAACCAAAGATAAGCTCCTTTTCCTGAGATAGACCATATCAATACTGTAGTTAACACTTTTCTATGATTATCTTTGTCAAAGATAAAAAATAGAAGGAAAGGGTAACATACTTCAACAAAATAGTATGTATTATATATAATAGAGGGTATAAGTAAAATATAGATAATGGAGTGCTAAAAGTAAGTTTATATAAGAGAAAATATTATGTTCAATAGAACAGTATTTTTTAAAACTAATTTTTATATAGCAAAATAGGAGAAAATCAGATTTAGAGCCAGCCTTTCCATCATAGAACACTGGTAGTCAGAATTGATTAATTCAATAAATAAAAATTATCAACAACTGACAGATAATGTTCAGAAAACTATGAAGTGAAAAAAGATGACAGAATGTATGCTTACACATAAATTATACAAATTGAAAATATATACCAATATCTTGGAGAACAATTAAAATTAAAATATGTCCTGAAAAACTCTCATACTGATCAAGATTTTAATTACATTTTTAAACCATGGATCAAAAGCTAAAATTTCTTGAACCAATAATCTAAACTATCAGTTGAATATATCAGGCCTTATAAAGTTATCGAAGAAAGAGAAAGGAAAATAAGTAGCTATCAGATCATGCTGAACAAATTATAAGAAAAAATAGTAATTATTTACATTCAGTCCATGTGACTATAAATGTACCTGTGTGTGTGGCGCTGGAGAACAAATTAATGTTATTTTTTATAAGATTTCTATCTACTTGAATAAAACCGTAATAAATAGCTAAACAAACTTTAAAAGTTTTCAGTTAAAGAACAAGTTGCCCCCAAAATATCTCTACTAAAATCTATTATACAAAAAACTATAAATACAAAATACTGTATAAAAACTAATGACATAAGATTACTTTCTTAAATATTTAATAACTATCATGCAGAAAAGGTAACAGAAACAATAGACATGTAACTTAACTAACAGAAAAAGAGACACCTACTTTAATAACGGATGGCATCTTGGAATTTAGATTATCATATGTAAAATGGAGGCGAGTTCTGAAGGAACATTTGTACAATAAAGGATCCTGGTAAAATTCTATTTTACCACTGGCATTTCGTTTATCAAGGCAGACTGTACAATCAGAAAAATTGATAACTTTTCTCAGCACCAGATCAGTTGCTAAAAAGAAAACAAAATGTTTTAAAAGCCAAAATTAGAGAAATAAAGGAAACAATTATTACTACATACAATATAAAAGTAGCAATAGCAAATTACATTCATTGATACAGATTTAGATCATAGACTCACAGATATAGTACATCAGACCATATACAAAAAACTTCTCATGTTTTGTATCATTTAAGTCTTACCAAAACAAAACTGATGTAAAGTTCTACAGTTCTTTTCTACAATAAGGTAGCAAAATTCTTGAGAATCCTTATTAGATATAACTTTTTAACAACTGTCAAGATTTAATATTCATTCTCTACTAAATTCTCACTGCTACTTGAAACCTACATTGTTCAGTATGGTAGCCACCAATGAGTGGCTATACAAATTTATATTTAAATTAACTAAAATTATATAAATATAAAAATCTAGATCTTCAGTTGCATTAGTCACATTTCAAGTGCTCAACAGCCAGATGTGGCTAATGGCTGTACGAGTCAGTAAAGATATAAAACATTTTCAACATCACAGAAAGTTCTAGTGTACTGCCCTGGTATCAAAATAAAAAAGGAAATCATCAACAACATTCTAAAGTTTGCTTTCAAGGAATAAAGGTATTAAAAAAAGTGGTAAAGATCAAACTAGAAAAAGAAACCTTTACCTTACAAGCAATTTTATTTCTACCTGCTAAGAAATTCCCAGGTATGTATCAGGCCAAAGATTTTAAATTAGCAGCTATTCACATGCTATCACCAAGGGAACCTTCAAATCAATGAAATATGCTTTAGTCCATTCTGACAAAACTATTTTTGACTATAACCTAGCAAATTCTAATTAATTCAACCACTTTATTTTATGTGAATTGAAGTTTCTAAGGAGAAAAACATTAAGGAATACACATATATATCAAAATACTACAAGCTTTGCTAGTAGATAAATTTCAAATTTGTCTGTTAAAAATATGTAAATTTACCATATTTTAATTTTATATGAGTATAGGACTTAATTATGAGTATTGTATAAATGTACAAAAATTAAGACATAATGAGTAGACTAAAAATAAAACTAACCTTTTAAAATCTTGGGTGTTTCCTACCCTCTATTTGTAATTAAAAGAATCAGCATTTACTAAGCTACTTTTATACAGACACTATATTAAGTCTTTTACATTCCTTATCTGACAATATTTCCATGATCCTATTAAGAAGATGTAAGAACTTAAGTACAGTAAGAATAAATAGTTCTTCTAATTCAAACACTGGCCATCTAACTGCAAAGTATATGTTTTTAACCAGCTTTACTATAATAACATAAAATATTTTCAAAGATATTTTAGAAATTATTATTTCAGCAGGAAAGGAAATTATTAAACTGTAAAAATATTTTATTTTCTTAAATATTAAATATATCAGGAACTACCCTTTTAAAACATATAAAACAAATTGTGTTCTGCTACAATTTGGTAGGTGATATGCTACAATTTAATTTGTAAGGTGGAGATAATAAAGATTTCTACCTAACAAGCACATAATAGGGCACTGTCTTGAAAATGTATTTGTATATTCTCCCATCTAACAAACCTACTCTTAAATATATACCCTAAAAAACCACTTATGTGCTTGGAATATAGCTCATGGTGGAGGCATAGCATGTGCAAGGTTTCAGGTTCAATCCCGAGTATCATAAAAAAAAAGAGAGAGAGAGAGAGAGAGAGAAAGGAAACACACATATGATATGTAAGAAAAGATTCATAACAGCACTATTTGTAACAGCAAAAATCTGGAAACAATTTAAATCCCCATCACCAGAAAAAGAAAGTAAGTTTTGACCTGTTTAAACAATAGAAAAATTTCTTTACTGGAAATGAATGATCTATGACTTTATGCAACAATATGACAAAATACATATGTATCAACTCCCAACAATGAATGGTACTACAAATACATGATAATAAAAATCTGAGAAATAGTATGAAATAATAAAAACATGCATTGAAAATAGAAAACCTCAAAACAATACATAAAATAGTGTTTTTACAAAACTCAGAAATACATGTTGGACTGAGGATATAACACAGTAGCTTAAGCGTCTGCCTGGCAAATGCAAAATCCTGAGTTCAATTCTTGGTACCAAAAAGAAAAGAAAAGAAATACATGTAACCAACTACAGTTACAGTTACAGTTACAACATTTATGTATATACAAAAAGTGATAAAATTTTGCAACAGTAAAATTCACATAAAATTAAGTTAAAATATATAATAGAATGCTATTTAATACATTTATACTAGTGCAATCATCACAATTTTACAACTGTCCCTCACTTCAAAAGTAAAAATTCTGTACCATTTATATATACATGACTTCTCCAATCCTTTCTCATGGTTTCCTCTCGGCCCTAATCATCTACTAATTACTCTACTTTCTGTCTGTACAGAATTGTCTATTCTGGACAATTAATGTAAGTAGAATCTACAATATTTTGCTTTCTGTTTCTGGCTTTTTTTCACTCAGTATGCTTTCAAGAATCTTCTACATGGTAGTATGCAGCTGTATTTATTCTCTTTTTCACTGCAGAAATTTTTTGTGAAAGTAAATAAAATTAAAATCAGTGTTTAACTCTATAAGTAAACAAACAAACAGGAAAAAATCGTATTGATTAGGGTAAACTACCATTACTATTCTAGTTATTCAGACAGGTAGTCCTCATTATATTATAACAAATATATGTTATATATTCCTTTGTAACTATCAAATAATGCATTAAAAATTAACAAAAGGAAAATAGTAATGTCTGCCTCAGACTATTAAACAAAGTATTATAAAAGATATAATACCTGGGCTGGCAGTTAGCAACCACTCTACAAGTGGCAAACACTATTTTACTGGCTTCATCAGCACCATCATAGTGAGATTTCACACATTATCAATTTGATTCTCACATATACATCAGAACTTTAACAGCAGTAATAATTTAAATATTACAAATGATAATTTATATTTTACAAATGGCTTTAACAGCAGTGATAATTTACATTTTACAAATGATAATTTACATTTTACAAATAGCCTTTAACAGCAGTGATAATTTATACTTTACAAATGGCCTACCAGAGGAAAAATTCAAGTCAAAATTCTCCAACTTCTTGTCTAAGACTCTTTCTTCTTCACTGTAATAATTTCTCAAACTAATATTTCCATTATTTATATATTAAAACTAAAAACAAAATGTTGATTCAACTAAAATGTTGATTCAATTATTCAATTCTGCTTGTTTTTTATTTTCAATTGTTTGTTTTTTATTTTCCATACCATATACTTCACTTCTGCCTTTTAATTTTTCTTTCCACAAAGGAATAAAAGGATGTATTAATAATGTAACACAAACAATGCTTATGCTTTTCCATATACTCTTATATATACCTCACAATAAACCTCCAAGATCTAAATCAATCTTCATTTTCAAAATACGAAGACTGAAGCTTGGAAAACACACAAAAATGAAACTATTTCTGTTCTGCTACTTTCTAGTTGAATGCTTTAGCCAAGTTAAATAATATTAAGACTATTTTTCACGTTGACTTAACCCTTTAACTAGGACTTAATATGAATAAATAAATGCATGACTAAATAAATGAGAAGTTATCACAGATGGAATCAGGAAAACTGCATCCTGTAAAAATGAATGAAAATACTAGTAACAGTAGCAAAATAAATGTAAATTACAGTAATAACTCATTTTCTAGCACTGATTGGTGGTATATTATACAAGTCCTTTCAGTGCATTAGCTGATTTAATAAAATAAATCTATTCACAAGGTCCCATTTTATACCTTATTTACAAACAAGTAAACTCAGAAAATAGAGAGGTAAATTTATCCAAAGCTATATATCTACTAAGGACCACAGAACTGTAATTCAATTACAGCTAGCATCTTGAACAAACACACACCATGGCAAATCACAGGCAGAAGGTTCTCACAACAACTCTTTACTTATTTTCCAAAAATATTCATTCCTTAAGAGTACATGCCCCAACACATATTATAACCTATTTAATCTCCCCTCACAAATGGTATCTGTCTCCTTCATAATTGTATTTTCAATACTTATCACAATGCCTACCAGGCAGAACTATTACCAAAATAATACTGACAGTTATTAAAATTATAGTATTAGTAGCTCTTTTACATAAGCAGAAAAATGTAGTAAGATACAGTCAAAAACAGTCTCAGGATAACTCAAGATTCCACATGTGGTTTAGAAAATACACAATAAAAATGTATCACATATTATTACAGAGCTATGTAAAAGCAACATGCTCCCTTTAAAAGCATACATAATGCAAAGTAACTATCATTTAATTTTTATTGCTATATGTAACTTATAACACTAAAATATTATAGATCATTCTTGAAATGATCATGTGATAGGTAAGAAGGAAAATTAAGAATCTTCAATAAACAAGAGAACATCAACTGGGCATGGTGGCACATGCCTATAATCCTGGCTGAGGCAAGTAGATCATTGCAAGTTCAAGACCAGCCTGGGCTACAAAGTGAGCTCAAGGCCAGCCTGAACTACATAGTGAGAACCTGTCTCAAAAAGACAAAAGAAAAACAACAACAACAAAAAAAAGAGAAAACAAGTTTGTGGGGTTTTGTTTCATTTTTGTCTTCTGTGACACTTGGGATCAAAACCAGGGCTTTTGCGCTAACCTATGTTCGGAGGTCTTTCTTTTTCATTTTTTTTTTTGGGGGGGGGGGGGATGAGAAAGGTGGGATACAGTCTAACAAAATTGCTGCATTGCTCAAGCTAGGACCAAACTTGCCATCCTCCTTCCTCAGTTTTCCAGCATTTTGGAATGCACCACCATACCCCAGTCTCCAGTTTCTTAATCTGGGGTCCTACGAACCTCTTGCAACTATATGCTAAAAATTGCACACGTGCATTTTTTCCACAACAGAGGCAGCAGCTTTCATTACATTACCAAAAGGCGGGGCTGGGGATTTAGCTCAGTGGCAAAAGCGCCTGCTTTCTAAGCAGGCAGTCATGAGTTCGATCCCCAGTACCGATAAAAAGGAAAAAGACAAAAAAAAAAAAAAAAAAAAAAAAAATCACATTACCAAAAGGCTATGTGGCCCCAAAACTGTCAAGAAATCAAGGCAATTATTTTATTTATAGAAAAATATATCATTTTCTTGATATTTACTTACCAGAAATATCCATGAATGCACGATCCCATAATTCACCTACTGTATAGCATTCTGCAGAAGTGATGTTCACTGAAAGGACAATATCATCCTCAACATATTTTAGTATGAGATTATTTATTACAATGTTTACATTATTTACAACTCGTCTAATCAGACTCTGCACATATCCTATAAAGTAGAACAGAAGGATTCAATTAGCAACAAGTCCACCAATAATTATTTCTTAAAATGCTACTTAACTTTATGTATAAAGGTAGGCAATATGTAGCATACTCTGCAAAGAACAAAGTAAACAGTAGGTGAGTTAAAAGATTACTCGAAGTAACATAGTAAGTGGTAAATCGAGCTCCAAAATACTCTTATCCAAGAAGTTCTATAATGAAGTATGCATGTATTAAGAGAAACCACAAAGATCATATTTTTCAATAAAATAATAGATAAGATATAATGATTATGCTACTGAAAATCCATGATTAATGACTTGGCTGTAGGACCTAGAAACACATCAAGTTTTGACATAAAACTTCCTCAGAGGTTATACAAACTCCATCATATAGACACTTGCACTCAAACAGTTAAAAAGATAAGTTGATTACAGTGCTGAAGTTGTTTCAAAGCTTAAGAATTTTTTTGAAAGTCTAAGAATTGGGAATATTGTCAATAAAATATAAACTTAAGTATATTCATCAAATTTGACACCTGGTCAATTAAAAGGTGGTTAGTGTACAAGCTACAGAAAATAGCTCTGAGGGGCTGGGGATTTAGCTCAGCGGCATAAGCACCTGCCTTGCAAGCAGGCGGTCGTGAGTTCGATCCCTGGTACCAATAAAAATGAAAAAGACCAAAAAATAAAGAAAGAAAGAAAATAGGTCTGATTTAAGATATCCACTATCTATATTATTAAGATGGTCACAATGGTTGTAGATAATAAATTAAGAGGGGGGAAAAAAATAAGTGTTCAAAAGGAAGACACAGTATTATTATTTTACAAAGATATCAGTATTTTTACAGAATCCAAAAGAAGTGATCAAAAATCCACAATATTGATTGGCTAAAAAAATACAAAAATTAGCTTTCTTATACAAAGTGGTAAAACAAAAATAAAATTATAAAAATGGTAATCCAATTAGCAATAGCATTTTTCATCTATGAAAGTTCCAAGGAAATATTTTTAGTAATAAAAAATCCAGTATGCCACCAAAATTTCAGACTAATTTTGCTACACATATAAAAGATTTTAAATTACTTTTAAATTTTGATTCTGAAAATTAGAAACAGATATATGCAAAGATTTACCTCACAGTATGTTAAAGCATTTTATAAAACTTAAAATGACAATCTAAATATCAAACAAAAACTGCTTGGTTAAGGGTCAGAGGTTCAGATCAGCAGCACAAGTGCCTACCTGTCAGGTGCAAGATCTGAGTTCAATCCCCAGTACCAAAAAAAAGATTAGTAAATAAACTGTGTGATAGTTATACAATGGGATTCACATTTACTGATTAAACTAGCATTATAAAAAATATGACATGAAAACACGTTAGTGGCATAACATTAAGCAGAAAATCCAGGTTATAAAAGAAAGTATGTGTGTGAGTTTGTGTATGCATGTGTGTACAAAAAAAGTCACTAAAGACTACAGCAAAATGACAGATTCCAATTCTAGGCATAGTAAAGTAAGAAATTCACCCTGTCTCTCCCAGAGAATGTAGCCATAAAACCTGGAAAGAACATATTGAGCAGCTGCTTCACGACTCTAAAAATAATATGCAAAAGAGGGAAAACAGCTAAAACCAGAGCTTATAAAGATGAAAAATAAAGTTATATGGAAGATATAAATAAATGGTATCAATAAAGTCTAACTGCACTTGGTCAGAGAGGATAGTCTAATAATATATGAGACTTTTGAATTTGTCAAGACTTTTTTTTTTACTTTTTGTCAATGTAAAATAATGCATGAATCAAAAGAATGTATACCATCTTACATGCTACGTGCTGACTTTGATACACAGCTCTAAAACAATCTGCCCTCAATAAACAATATTTTGAAATTTATACTTGTTAGAATGAAAAAAGACTCTCCAATTAACACCGTTGCTATAATAAACACAATATAAACATCAGATAGCTTGAAGGACTTTATCACAAAAACTATTTTGAAGCAGAATTCATTTTAAAATGGATTTATACATTAGTAAGTACACTTGTGCAGCAGTTTTCCATGCATAAGTTTTGGTTTCTCTTCCAAAAGACAACATAACATCCAAGATATCTATAGATAGAGAGATAGATAGACAGACAGACAGACAGACAAGACAGACAAAAATAAAGATATCTCCCATACAGTTTCCCTCAGTGAAATCTGAGCAGTACATGTATAACTGTAGTCTGTGAGTATTATAAATAATAATGAGATCTCCAGATTTGTTTTGAGCAGGATGAAAGTATCAGAATGCAAAGGTTAGCCTAGAAGATACCAAAGCCTCCATATGAAAATATCATGATATGACATTATCTATGAACTAATACATTAAAAAATATTTTCAATGGGTTAAGCCATGAAATTCAGCAAGTAAGTAATTTGTCTACTATTTAATATTATCCTATCTTATATAATTTGTTATTATTATTTTCAAACAGTTATATCAGAAAATTTTAATGCAGTCTTAAAAAGTAAAAGCACTAATATGTTAAACCAAAAAAAAAAAAAAAAAAAAACCCAGAAGCTACAAGCCAGGTGTGGTGGCATGTGCCACCTTGCCTAGATCTACAAATTTTTTTAAACATTTGTCAATAGGGTTTTCTCTGTTCTTCAATGTTCCAGAAAAGAATAGCTTTAAATTCTTATACTCCAGAGGCAAAACAAAATTTCACTATTTCCTATAATATTCTGTCATTAAAGAATCAGGTTCCTAGGGACTGGGGATTTAGCTCAGCAGCATAAGCACCTGCCTTGCAAGCTCATGGTCGTAAGTTTGATCCCCAGTACCAATTTAAAAAAAGAGAGAGACAGAGAGAGAAAGAGAGAAAGAATCAGGTTCCTGAATAGGTGATATATCACAATGTTTAAAATATTTTATCTGACATATTCTCTAAAACTCCTTCAGGAGATTTTATCAGAAAACCAAGCACTAAAAGCCCAAGAAGGCAAGCATTTAAATGTAAGCAGAGGGTACATACCTGGCTGACCCATAATGAGGATGAAATTAATGTAAAGATGAAATCAGTAGGAGGAAGAGAACAAGAAGTTACCAAGAAGCAAGCCCTCCCTGTGAATCGACACCATGTGCATGCTGTTGGGGAGACGGCCAGACACCAGCCTTTTCCAGTGAGTCAGTGCCATTCACAGACTACAAGGGAAGACAAGAAATCACCAAGAGGCAAGCCCTCACTGATAATTAGCACCATGCATGGGCTGCTGAGGGAAGAGCCTGAGATGCCAGCTCTTTCCAACACATGGGCTAGGAAACAAGAAGAGCCAACCCTACCCCAATCCCCCACTACCACAAGTGACCAGCTGATCCAACGAAACACAGGCTGCGATGGTAGCTATTAAGGTAAAATGCAATTTAATACTTGCAGTGTTTACTGTTTCACTAACATTGCAGATTTAAAGCTCGTGGTCTGATCATTTATTCAGAGAATGTCAGAGAATGGCAATATGTAGTGTAGCATCTATGGAGGATCTCCTTCTGAGGGTGGTGGCCATTGTTGATTCCCCATGGTTTTGTTTTGAAGTTCTGTATCATTTTCATTGTTTTGTTGAGTTGGGTTTTGTTCTGTTTTCTGTTGTTAGATTTTATTGTATCTGATGGCATGGACAGCCATTTCAAAGATAATAAGATATATTATGGTAACTACTTTGGATTTACTATTGTCTTGAAGTCCTTTATTGCATTCATTATTTTATTTTTTTTAATTGGTTCTAGTCTTTTTTTTTTTCTATATCTGCAGGTATGGACAGTTATTTTGAAGACAGCAGGAAGCATTACAGTAACCATTGTTGATTTCCTATTGTTCCGAAGTTCTGTGTCACTTACATTGGTTTGTTTTTTTTTTTTTTTTTGTACTGGGAATCAAACTCAGAACCTCGTGCTTGCCAGGCAGGAGTTTACACTGCTGAGCTAAAGCCCCAGCCAGTACATTAGTTTGTTTCGATTGGCTTTGTCTTGTTTGTTTTGTTTTGCTTGGTTTTATTCTATTTAAAATAAAAACAAAAAATTTAAAAAATTAAGCAGACAAACCTGTGTACACATGCGTACACACACTGTCCATGTCATATGAAAATATTTTCTACAGAAAACTGAAAAATCTAAATATATGACAATTTAATAATGTCTCACCAGACATTAAAAAATTCTGAGTTCAATTTTCTTATTCACAAAATGTGGGACTAGGTCAGAGACCTAAGTTATCACCTATTACCATACTTCAATAGGTGTGCAAATATCATAAATCAGTAGTAGTGAACTTAAGGCACCGTGCTGTGGCAGGCTGTTTGTTATCACTGAAAGCTCTAAAAAAGGTACTAGATTTGCCACTACTCTAAATTATATACTAATTAAATGTGCAGACTGGTGATACGGCTTTGTGACAGAATGCTAGCCTATCACAGATGAAGTGAATTTTATCATCAGTACCTTAATGAATGAATAAAAGAAACACGGAGAAATAAAATGGAAAGCATAAAGCATCATTAAGCTGTCTCTCTAATTTAAAGTGAATATGCTGCAAGATTTACTAAAGCCACAACTCAAGACTGTTATCACTAGCAGTAATTAAAGATATTGGACTAAACTTAAAGTATACAGACCTCAAACCAGTTAGGTTCAAACTCTTCTGAGTTTTCCTCAGTAAAGAATACTACATCAAATTTCAGAACAACCACATTTCTTGAAATACTACTACTAACTTTCAATAAATGCCAATAAACTACAAGTTTTTTATTCTGCAATATGTAGGGTTATATAAATTATATATAAATAAATTCTGTGTGAAAAATATATATATATTTTTTTAAACTGAGAATTGAACTCAAGATTTTAGGCTTGCCAGGCTGAGCTATATCCCCGACCCCCTACATTATATTGATTTTATATATTAAATTTATGTAAGTATTTTGGTGGTAGTACTAGGGACTGAACTCAGGGCTTCCTCCTCATGGAGCTACATTCCCAGACATTCCTTTCTCCTGTCCCTTTCCCTGTCCCTGTCCCTGTCCCTGTTCTGTTCTGTTCTGTTCTACTGAGCCAAGGTCTCATTAAGTTTCTAAAATGTCCAGACTGGACCTGAATTTGTGATTATTCTAGACTGCTAGGATTATCCTAGAGTGCCAGGTTTATACACCTATACCACCAGGCCTAATATGACACATTTTTTTCCAAATGCTTGCCATGACCCATTAAATTGCTTTAACAACATACTAATTAGTCAAGAACCACAGCCTAAAAAAGATTGTTATGGATACCATGAATAGAAATTGCAAGTCAGATATTAACGTACTCTTTTCCTATTAGAAAGTCACTTATCCTTCAAAGAAGTAAAATAAATGTCTATTGATAACAGTAAATTTTTCTTTAAAATTATTTCTGACTACATATAAATGATAAAACTCCAAAATTACAACCACAAACCTCAGAAGAAATAACCTTGTTCTAGAAAATTCCAAAAACAAGAATTTACCTCTGCTATGAAAGAACTTTAATATGATTCACAGGCAGGATGTGGTTGCCAGAAATAGGTCCTCAAATAACCATATGGGTTATCCTTTAAATAAAATACAGATGCTCCTTGTTAATGATCTATTTGATGACTGTTCAGACTTAGGATCCACTGCTCAGACTTACAATCCAATCTTTGTATTTTTTTGTACAATTTTTACACCTTGTTTATATAGCCTCAATGTCTTTTTTCATAAGATAAACCTTGTTTATACAGCACGATAATTTTTGCTGATTATACTGAACAGTATAGTGCTGTAGTTTTATGTTGTCGTATAAGACAATACTGCATGCAAGAGTTATGCAAATAAAAACAAAGTCATCAAGCAAGAGATTCCTCTAAGCATTTCTTTATTCTGAATACTGAAGTGTAGATACTATATACAATTCTTCCTTTAGCAACCAATTCATTTAACCATCTAGTCAAGCAAACTAAATTTGGTCATTAAACGAGGAAGTCTGTAATTTACCATTTATCCAACTGGAGTCTGAAATTATTCTTTTTTTCATTTGGTAAAATTGAGTTTGGCTGCTCTGACTCCCAATAACTGGCCAACAGATTAATCCATTTACTTCTTAAAGCAACTCCCTAACCACAATTTTTATTAGCATAAAATAGGATATGAGTTTTCCTGTAAATTAAGATAGAAAAGCACATGTTAATCCAAAAGCTATCTCAAATAGTTCTAGTACAACAAACGCGATGCTCTGTGTCATATGCCACTAAAAACAGGCTAATTATCATGATTCTACAGGTCTACAGTCTAATATAATCTCTGAAGAGTCATCACAAGTTTAGGAACCATATTGAATGCACACAGGTCAGAAAGTTTCTATCTCTGATAACAGATTTAAACTTTTTTTAAAGCAAGTTACTTCTTATAAGAAACAAGATATGGATTAAGAGTAAACAAATCTAAAACTGACAGGCAGAAGGAAGAAGAGTAGGAACAAGAGCAAGAAAAGAACCAATGTATCTATATCATGAACTGATACAGAAAATTTTAAAGAATTACATAGTCAAACTTATAAAAATAGTGTTTACATATTTAATGAAAAATAAGCAACTAGTTTAATTTAAAGTTTAATTCCTTGTTTATTTTTCTCAAGGAGTTAATTACTAAGAAAAAACATCTAGAACTATCACACTATAAACAAATCAGGAAAAATTCAAAAATAAAGTATCTTTTTCTAGAATCTTTTCCAGTTTTTAGCAACTAATTTACCCAAAAGTCAGACAGATAAACTAATTTGTTGATACAGTTTTGAAAAATTAAAAACTATCAGCAGTAACATCGCTACAGCACTAGCTAACAATGTTCACTTCAACTGTAACCCAGAATAAATACTTGGAGAAAGCTGGGCTAAGAAATGGTGTACCTAACACTACCTCTAACAATAGATGGTGCCAAAAGACTGCCAAAAATTAACCACTTTAAAGCAGAAAGCTTACAGCATTTTGATACAGAAAACAAGTATATACCAATGTCCACTACATTTTACACAAAAATACGTATATATACATACATATGTTATATAGATACATATATATAGATACAGATATAATCTCAAAAGAGAAGTGACTGACAATACGTAATTGTATAAAATACGTATATATACATACATATATAGATAGATAGATAGATAGATACAGATATAATCTCAAAAGAGAAGTGACTGACAATACATGATTGTAAAAGAGCAGTAGTGCACTTGGGCCACAGACTGACATGCAAAGACTTTCCTCTCTTTTATTAAATACTTACCTAGGAACTACTTTTTAAGTGTTATTGTTCCAGGTAAATAAACTGTTGTGGTCAGGGGTTGCAAGAACAATTACATACAGGACACAGAATTTATAACATTTTATGACCCAGAGTTAAATATAAGAAATGGCAGGAAACCTGTCCATAACACTTTAGGAAGGCCTGAATCCTATAGCAGCATCCCAGCATGAATCCAGCTGAAGACCTAGAGCCTATGACAATGACACATGCAAGTCTATTTTATGGATGTGCACTGGGAAGACCTAAAGGTCACCACTGGAAGCTAGAAAGTCTATGCCAGCAGAGTAAAGGATTTATGCCAGTAAGTTGAGGGTTCTGCAGTGGAGCCAAGAAGCGATACTCACATATGAACCCTGGCTCCCCAAAAAGTACTACAGCCATCCTTGGCAACAATGAGGTCCTGAGCTCCTCTGAGGATAAGAACAGCTGAGTACATATCAGAAGCCAGCGTCACAAACTTTTCCTGGAGATTAAACAGCACACATCTTCCTCTCTAGAGCCAGGAAAGTAAGGACCAAAGCTTCCCCAAAGTGAACCACAGCCAAGTTCGTATCCACAAGCTTCTCCAGGAGAACCAAACAACAGCAACACTTTAAGAGAACTCACAATGCTACACTTTTCTTCTCCATATCTTTTTAAGCTGACAACTTTCCTCAGCACCATGCTTATTCAATTCAGCTGGTGTTAAATTGATCACCAGTTTTCAATCCATAAAGTAAACATACCGCGAAATAAAAAGGTATCACTTCTACTTATAAAATCCAATAATTTCATAGTGAATTTTAGGGCTTCCAGACACCAGAACAATTCACTATCTTTTTTTTATCAACATACAAAAAAAAAAAAAAAAGAGACATCAGTCTTCCCTGAGAGGTTATAGCAAACTCAATTACTTGCTACAAAAAAAGAAAATCTGAATGAAAGCCAGTTGAGGGCTCTGAATCAATACGTTTCGAAGCCATGCAGCAAATACACATTTATATCTTGGCTAAAAGTATATATTCTACAAAGGGACTAAATAAGAATCACTAACAATTTAAATCTGGGCACTATCAACCTCATTAGAAGTTACCTGGTGGTAAATCAGGATCTGTAGGAGCTGCCTGCTGAATTCTTCGGGGTTTTACTGATGATTTTGTATTCTCAGCAGTACTACGATTAGTAGAATTAGACCCACAGCTTTCATGATCATCCTATTGGTAGTTTAAAGAAAGTAAAAAGAAACACATCAATCATATTGAAGACCCAGGAAAAAATGTTTGCAATATATGCATTTTATGAATACTAAGGTTACATAAACTTTTAACTTTATTTTTTAGCCCTGAAAATGTACACAGTGTAACCAAATTTCATAACTTCCATTTTCAAACAGCATTTTAAAAATAACCAGTAGTTTAAATTCTTTTTATTATCTATGGCTTTTGCAAAAGAAAAGACTATTTATTGGAAGCTCTTAAAAATTTTCATCTCTAAGCACAAAAAGAAAAAGAAAGACTCTTAATATTCCATGTGTTGGTCATATACTAAACTCTTCACTATTTAGAACCCAAACTACCTCCTTAGTCAACTTTAACGATTTATCTAAAATGTTAACATTAGACTCTTCTTTATCCTACTTAACACTTACTGAATTATTATTTGTAATAAAGATTAAATGTTTTTATATAATGTAGCAACTTACATGTATCTTAAATGTATCTCTTTATTTATAAAATCCTAATGAACATTCTTTTCCTGTTATGACTCAGTATTTATCTAAAGCCCTTATGTTCAATTACTGAATTTACTTATTAACATAAATTAGGCATCATGGTTGTCTTCAAGGATTTCAGACTCTATCAAACATATATATAACCAATTCTATGAAAGCAGTTAATTTTTTATTTTTAAGTAACAGTAGCACTGAGTCATTCTATTTGTAAAAACTAAACATGTTGGGTCAGGCCTTTAAAACTCAATGCAGGTGTATTTTGGGTTACAACTGAAGGATAAACAGTTGAGACCTATAAGCAAAAGCAAAATGGTACAAATGTATGAAGCATGCCTATTACAAACAATAATGATTGATCAAATAAACACTGAGTATACAATGATTAAAACAGAAGAACAAGATCAGAAGCTAAAAGCATAGGTAGATGCAATAATGATGTAGTACTAAGTATAACAGATATATTTAGTCTTCATTCTACCTGAACTGTTTTCGGACTTGGTAATCCAACCTATAAGGAAATGGAGGAGTTCCAGAGAAACAACAGAAGTGAAATTAATAACTAAGTAACTCAAAGACAAAATCATTTATTTCTTATGGCCTCAGGTACACCCACCATCCTACAAATCATTCAGATTTATTCTTCTTAATGGCAGAGTAGTACTCCATTATGTACAAATACCATTTTCTTTATAAACATTCATTTGTTGATGGATATACAGGCAGCTTAAAAAGATTTAGTTATCATAAATTGTTCTGCTATAAACATGGGTATGCTTGTATCACTGTGATATGTTTTTAACTCTTTCTCAAATATAAAGAGCAAAATACAAGATAATGGGAATAGGGTCAGGGATTTAGCTCAGCAGCACAAGCACATGAGCTTGATCCCTGGTACCAAAAAAAAAAAAAAAAAACCCAGATAATGGGAAGTACGGAGGCAGAATTTTTTTTAAATGGGAAGGCGATCAAAAGATGGAGGGAAGAAGGGGAAGGAAAAGGCATTTTAAAAAATAAAGATGTAGGGGCTGGGGATTTAGCTCAGCGGCATAAGTGCCTGCCTTGCAAGCAGGCAGTCATGAGTTCGATCCCTGGTACTGATAAAAACGAAAAAGACAAAAAAAAAATAAATAAATATGTGTTATATACAGGTGGCTACTTCCCATAAGGAATGTAATCATTATGTATTGCAAGCATGTGCTAATAAAAAAAAAAAGGATGAGAAGTTAGCAACGGCACTAGTAAGCACAAATTGTTCCTTCAAGAAGGCAGGCATTGCTTCACTCTAAAATCAGGAACAGGACAAGGCTGTCCACTATCAGCAGTCCTATTCAATACAGTTCTGGAAATATTGCCCAGAGCAAGAAAAAGATATAAAAGGACTAAAGAAGGAAAAGAAGAAGCTAAATTATCATTATTTGCAGATGACATGATACTTTACATAGCAGACCCAAAAAATTTCACTAAAAGACTACTAGAGGTAACAAATTCAGCAGTGCAGCTGGATACAAAGTCAACACTCAAAAATCAATAGCATTCCTGTACACAAACAAAAACTCACTGAGAGAGAAATATGGAACTATCTCCTTTCACAATAGCATCTAAAAAACTGAAATATTTAGGAATCAACCTAACCAAGAATGTAACAGACCTATATGCTGAAAATTATACTACTCTAAAAAAGAAGACTGAGGATGATATTAGAAAATGGAAGGATATTCCTTGTTCTTGGTTAGGAAGAACCAACATTGTGAAAATGGCCATACTCCCAAAACTGTTATACAGATTTAATGTAATGCCAATTAAAATACCATTAACATATCTTACAGATCTAGAGAAAATAGTTATAAAATTCATTTGGAAACAGAAGAAACCTAGAATAGCAAAGGCAATTCTGGGCAACAAAAGGCAAAACAGGAGACATCTCAATTCCTGACTCGAAACTATACTACAAAGCCACAGTGATAATATCAGCATGGTACTGACAATGGAACAGATTAGAAGATGCAAACACAACTACAAAGACACTCGGCAAACTTTTATTTGACAAAGGTGCTAAACATGTTCACTGGAAGAAGGATAGCCTCTTTAAAATAAATGGTGTTGGAAAAATTGGATCTCCACATGCCAAAGACTGAAACTAGACCCATGCCTATCACCATGCACAAAACCAAAGTCAAAATGGATCAAGAACCTAAATATTAAAACAGAAACACCAAATCTACTGGAAGACAAGGTAGGTAGAAATCTTGGAGACATGGGGTAGGCAGAAAATTCATGAACAAAATGCAAACCACACAGGAAACACTTCAAAGTACCAACAACTAGAATCTCATATTTCTAAAAAGTTTTTGCACTTCAAAAGAAATCACCAACAAAGTGAAAAGAAAACTCACAGAATAGGAAAGAATTTTAGTCAACAATCCCTCAGACAAAGGACTTATATGCAGAACATATAAAGAACTGAAAAACACCAAGCCCCCAAATTCAAAGACCCTCTCCAAAAATGGGTGTCAGAGATAAACACACATTTCTCAGATGATGATATACAAATGGCAAATAAATACATGAAGAAATGTTCACGATCACTGGTCATTCAAGAAATGCCAACTGAAACAGCACTGAGATATTTCACCCAGAAAGAATGGTTGCCATCAAGAAATCAACTGATAACAAATGTTGGCGAGGCTGGGCGGGGGGGGAATACTTCTCCCCTGTTGGTGGGAGTGTAGACTGGTACAGCCACTGTGGAAATCAGTACAGAGATTTCTCAACAAACTAGGATTAGAAATTCCATTCAATCCAGCTATTCCCCTACTGGGTATTTTCCCAGAAAATCTGAAAAGGTCACATCACGGTGATATATGTGCACCCACATTTATAGCAGCACAATTTATAATAGCTAAGTCTTGAAAACAACCAAAATATCTGTCAACCACAGAATGGATGAAAAACATGTGGTACTTTTATACAATGGAGTATTACTCAGCCAAAAAAGAATGCTTTTGAGGCCTTTATAGGTAAATGGAGGCAACTTGAGACTATCCTCATAAGTGAAATAAACAAGACTCACATTAGTAAATACCACATTGTCTCTCTAGTATAAAAATAATAATAACCGAAAAAGTAGTAAGACCCAAAATGTATAACAGATATTATAAAAATGAAAGAGAAGGGAAGTACTCTATAAGGCCAGGGATTTAGCTTAGTAGCACAAGAGTCTGTTCAGGAAAGTACTCTAAAGGATATAACTGTTTATATAAGTGTGTAAGATGTATGACCATATTACTAAGTTTTTGTTGGATCATTGAACAGAATGGTTTGTACTGTCAATGTCTGAGTGTCTATCCACTTTTTATGCTTTGATTTTGTAACTTGAATAACTATTTCTAAGATGACAATATATAATGTATCAACTAGCGATTCCTTGGTGTTGATTTTTTGTTGAATTCTGTATTACTCTACCCTTCTTTTCTATTTTGATTTTTTTCTTTCTTTCTTTGAAAAAAAAAAGAAGGCATTGGAAGAGAAAAAATCAGGTAGGTTAGTAAAATGATGTAAAGACACCTGATAACTTATTTTTCTCTTGTTTAAAGATAAAAGCAAATTTTAAAGAAAGCTGCTGAGTCAGACAGCAAAGATACCAATATAGAAAGTGAAGTTGTGCTATATATCAGTTCTATAATTAATAACATTATATAATACAATATGGTAATCAGTATTCCTGTTTTATAGATGTGAAGAAAAGATTTCAAGAGCAAATAAAACGCATAAGCATTAAATTTACCATACGGGGACTTAGAAGCAAATGAAAACTATGACAGTAGTCTTTTTTTTATTTTTGTTTTGCTTTTTTTTTTGAGATGGGGTCTCTCACTACTTAGTGCAGGCTAACCTTGAACTCATGACAATTCTCCTGCCTCAGGCTTCTGAATGCTGGTGTTACAGGCACATGCCACCATGCCTGGCCAGAAAAAAAGTAGTTCTTATGCAATATCACACTAAGCAAAATATACAATAATAAAAGGTGAATCGTTTATAAGACAGTATGGCTTCAGATGCTAGTGATACTTTAGGGGGAAAATTGTTTGAAATTTCAAACAAGCAAAAAGTGAAATATTCGTTGTCAGAAAAACAGAGGTTTTTTGTATGAACTCACTTTGTTTTAAAATGAATGCCAAGACTAACATCACAGTGTTCAATTCCATACAACATCTTCACAATTCAGTCTTTAATATGGTATGTTTTATATTGAGAGATGTTACAGTCTTTAAATACTGAAAGACTACTGTGAATTAAAACTAATTTACTTATAGTTCAACTTCAAATCCTTAAAAATGCCCCATTATATAATTCTGCACAATGTAAACAATAAAAGCACACTATTAATTTTTGAAACATGTGGTTGCCTCAAAAACCCAAAAGTAAAACATATTCACCAAAGAGATGCAAAAAAGTTCCAAGTGAAGTGCCAAAACTAGCATA